AGTAGGACATCATTGAAAACCAGGGTCCGATTATATCGAAACAAAGATGGCTCCATGATCACAGAGAAGGAGCAGATTTTGGTCCGATGGTCTCATCACTTTGATGCACTTCTAAACGAGGCAGCAGATGGTCCAGACGATTTCATAATCCCAAGTGCTGAGCATGACCTGGACTCCCCAGACCCACCGACATGTGAGGATGTTCTTGAAGCAATCAACAGACTGAACAACAACAAAGCCCCAGGAGAGGATGGAATTCCTTCTCAGCTTCTCAAGCATAGTGGCGAGAAATTCCAGAGAGCCCTCTACGACATCATCCTCACCATCTGGATTGAAGAGAAAATGCCAGATTAGTGGAAGAAGGGAATAATTTATCCACTACACAAAAAGAGTAATATCCTAGACTACTCCAATTACTGAGCAGTGTGCAGCACATCTCACTTCTTCAGTGTGCATATAAGATCCTCTTAAACATTGTCTACTGCAAACTCCTCCCGTTTGCTGAGAGAGAGAGATTGGTAAGTATCAGGCGGGGTTCAGAGGGGGAAGATCTACAGTTGACCAGATGTTTAGCCTCCGTATGATACTGGAAAAGTTTTAAGAGTACAGGATGATGACCCACCACCTGTTTATTGACTTCTGGAGTGCATATGACAGCATCAAGAGACTTCAACTGTATGCAGCATTTATAAGGTTGGCTGAAGCTTTGGGAATGAGTGTAAATCAGGAAAAGACGATGTATATGCGAGCAGGACCTGTAACCGAGACCATAGTACGAGGACCAGTGGTTATGGGCCCATTTACGTTCCACAATGTAGACCAGTTTACCTGTCTGGGAGCTATTGTAAGCTGTGGAAATAGAATATTCCTGGAGATCAACCAGCGAATAATAAGGGCAAACAGGTGCTATTTTCGCCTCAGCAAACATCTTAGAAGCTCTGCCATCTCTCATCATACAAAATGCCTCATATATAAGACTCTCATTAGGTCTGTTCTCAAATATGGATCGGATAGCTGGATCCTCTCTAGCAAAGAAGAACAAGATTTACAAGATCTGCATGGGGAGACAGATGTGTTGAGGTGCATCAAGCTTGGGCGACTACGTTAGACTGGCCATGTGGCCAGAATGCCAGAAGAGGAAGTCCCAAGGAAGTTGCTTGATGGGAAGCTGCAGAACAAGAGGGAAGGGCCATACCACGTCTAAGATGGGAGGACGCCAGAGAAGTATTGCATACTCGCAACTGGCGAACGACTACGCCAAAAAATAGAAAGTGAAAAAAATATGGAGGGATAACTTCACTTTATGCATTTTTGAGTCTTCTAAAACCATTATTATCAATTTTAGAGGAATAATTATCCATAGGAATAATTGTTAAAACTCTTAGAGAGATAATTAGAACAACTAAGGAACTTTGAATTATTGAAGGAAATTAGTAGACTGTTCTACATATCATGAGTGAAAAATATTCAGGATGCAGTCATTTTTAAGGTTTTTTATTGGTGCCGATATTTTAACCTAAGCATGTGGGGGTCATCATCAGGGCATGTTTCGAGCACTGAAGGTGTTCAAATACTCTGAGTATTTGTAGTATTTCACATGCTTGAGTTGAAATGTCGGCACCAATAAAAACCTTAAAAATGATTGCGCCCTGACTATTTATCACCCTAAAATTGGGTTACTTAAATTCTTAGAGAGATAATTAGAACACCTAAGGAACTTTGAATTATTGAAGGAAATTAGTAGACTGTTCTACATATCATGGGTAGTGTTGCCCAAATGCGAGACCCAGACGAGTCTTGGGTCTTGCAAACTCAGTTTCGTCATGGTCTTGTTCTTGCACAAGAGTCTCGCAACAGTCTTACAGTACTGTATTTTGTAGATAGGAGAAACCTAACTAAGCCTGAATGAAAAATTAGAGGAATTAAATGCAAAACTATATTGGTTATACCAGTTATTTACATATAGTAACTAAGATTGTTGAGTATTAGTAACTATTTTGCCTTAATTTTTTATTAAAAACATCTATTTTTTTTACCAGTCCTGGTCTTGGTCTTGCAACAGTTAGGCGGCCTTGGTCCGCAAAAGACCGATTTTTGGCAACACTAATCATGGGTGAAAAATAGTCAAGATGCAGTAATTTTTAAGGTTTTTTATTGGTGCCCATATTTTAACCTAAGGTTGTGGGGGTCATCATCAGGGCATGTTTCGAGCACTGAATGTGTTCAAATATTCTGAGTATTTGTAGTATTTCACATGCTTGGATTGAAATGTCGGCACCAATAAAAACCTTAAAAATGATTGCGCCCTGACTATTTATCACCCTAAAATTGGGTTACTTAAATACCAATGGATTACAATAAATCTGTTAATGTGGCTCCTAGATTGTAAAAAAAAAATCTCATAGCCCTCTAAGAGTTTGTTTTCTAGAAATATTGTAGTTAAGAATCACAAACACAAAAAAAAAAAAAAAAAAAAAAAAGGAAGAAGCAGGAAGGTTAATTATAAGCAGGGATTTAACTCTCTCAAATTTTGATTAGGGTCTAATAGCACTTAATTTAACAAAGATGATTTCACAGGTGTGTCAAAAAATGAAAGGCTGCCCGAATGGAAGAGCAAGGCACTAACAACATACGATAAATGTCGACTGTGCTTTGAATCAATTCAGCACATCATGGCTAGATGTGGAATGCTGGCAGGAATGCACAGATTTCTTTAAACTAGTAAAATCCAGGTGTGACTGTTCCCAAATTTAGTGGAAACCTGGTCAATGTCTGTTCCTGAGGTCAAGAGGTCGTAATGGGCGAGCATATTGGAATGTTACCTGTTTTAGCATTCTCATCTCTAGCGATGCTGGTTCGAATCCGGCCCGAGTGGATTGAAATTTATTTCATGGCAAACTCATGGAATGGATCTCCTTTCCCACTCTGGTTAGATTAGGTTTGGTTGTCTCTAAAACAACCCCTTCTTCCTCCCTTCACCCGGTATGCCAGAAATAGTGAGGCAGAGGATAATCCAATAATAACAAACATGATCCTCATGTCAGGAACGATTGCATATATATCACCTGGCACAAAGCTATAAAATGTACTTACCCATTAAATATGAAACTGCGAAATAAGAGATTAGCCTCGGATGAGCCCAATACTAAAGCTGTATTGGGAGAGAACCGTGGTCAGCTCCCTTCAGAAGTAAAGGAGCAAGCAGTGCTACCCTGTTGTCAAGGACCACAATGTTTACCGGCCAACAGTTTAAGTTCGAGCTTGGCAGAGAGACATTCTCCACCAAGTTAACAATGCAGTAGTCACTGAAAATAATGCTGCAACATCAGATAGAATGTTTACTACAATCAAGAATACAGAAACCATGGTTAGAAGCATCAGTATACAAACCCACACTATAGGAAACAAAAGAAGAATGATATGATCCTTGAAAACAGACTGAGTCAAGTAGCATATTCGTCTTGAGGAAATACTGCTACTGGGAGCGACCATCGTTACCACGAGTGCCATGTACTGAGTATACGCTGAACATGTTCTTAAAGATCATTTAGCCTTAATAAATTGCCTTAAAGATATTACTCATTGGCCATACATTGCCGCGAAGACAGTTATATTGGAGCTTTGTATAAAAAATAGAAGAGAGAAATAAAAGTAAACTTCCAGTAGGTTGTAAGGATATTCCACAGTGAAAGAAAATTAACATGTTGAGTGATAAAATTAACAACATTTCAAAATAATTATGCCAGGTATTACTTCAAATATTGAGTGTTTATTAAAATATGAGGGAGATTTCAAAATCTCAGTACAATATGAACATATATTGTGATATGAATTATAGTTGATAGTAGAATATATTTGGAGCAAAGTTGGTTGGAGTGTCCAGTCAATGAAAGAAAAAATCAATGAAATTTTCTTTCATTGACTGAACAGACCAACTAACTTATTTCTAGATATGAATATTTGGTGATTAGAAAGTATTAAAAAAAAAAAAAATTCATTTTTTGTATGTATTTTTCTATTTAGTGCCTCTAGTACCCTTGTGAAATGAATACTACTAATCATCAGTAATGATCGAGGAATGCATTAAAAAAAAAAATTATAACAAACATTGACTTTAATCCAATTACCGAAACATTGCAGTTAGTTTCAACCTAATCCCAGATTTTTATTTTAACAAATAAATGTAAAAAAAAATCTGTTAATTAATATAGTACTAAGGAGTACCCTCTGTCTATCTAACGGTGGACCACCACTCGTTTAACAAATTATACAACTGTTCATTTAATTGTACCAGTCGTTTTTCAAATTGTATAACTGTAATTTACATGTTTTCAGCTGTTCAGATTGTGTTATTTTTTATCAACATAAAATAAATGGAACGAAACCACAGTATGGGGGAGCGGTGCCTGAGAATGAATCTTGTATCATGGAAATAATGTCCAGGGGTAACACTGCCAAGGAGGGAAGACTGCACCGAGATAACAATGTAGATATAGAAATGGGGGGGGGCAGGGTGGACTTGCGGGCTATCGCGTGTGCACAGCACCACCGTTGCCCAGCAACCTGATCAAAGATATAATTTGATAAAATAAGCGTCCCGGTGACGGGGGGATTTTAAGTCTAATCCCCTGCCCTTAACCTGGGCTAGGAAAACCCTTGTAGAGCCCTATGGCAAGGAAGGGGAGGACAAAAAAAAAAAAAAAAAAAAAAAAAAAAAAAAAAAAAGGAAAGATGTAGGAGTGGACGAGACAGAATATTTCTTTATAAATAGTGTACATTGTGTTATTCTGTTTTTATTGTAAATATTGTATATATTGTGATTTACATGTTTTATTAGTAAATGGTTTGTTTATATTAGTTGATAGGTGTGTTAAATTTGTTTCTAATAAGAAGTGTGAAGTCTTCATTACGGTCCGTCTTGATTTTTATATGTAAAATAAAAAATGACAGACACTAAAAATATTTTTAAATAATAAAGAGATAAAAACATTAAAACTCACATTATTCCTTTGTTTGTATTTGTCTATGTCAACATTTAATGATAATAGTTCACTATTTTTTTCACAGATATTCTTTTTTAATTGACTAATTGTTTCTTCAAGTTCACTAATCTGATTTGCTTTTAAGGTAGTATTTTGTTTTAATGTTTCTTCTATATATGAAGAAAGTTTCTTGTTTTCATTATTAACTTTTGTTAATTCCTGGCTGAGTTCATCTAGAGAATCTGTTTTTTTATCTAATTCTACATTCAAATGTTTTAATAAAGCTTCCTTTTCCTTTAACCTAAAACAATAGAAAAGAGATGTAAGAAAAAAAATTGAAGATAAAATCTATATATTACAATGGCATATATGAAATATGAAATAGCATTTAAATATTATGGAAGAACACTTATTGCTGTTTAGCTTATGACTTCTAAATAGGAATGCTAAGTTTTTTTTTGTATTTTATTTATAACTAAAAACTAATTACTGCAGGGGTGTTTGTATTACAGAAGAGTTAGGATTATAGAGAGTATTTGAAAAATTACTTACAATAAAAGACTAAAACTCAATAAATATATAAAACTTTATTAACTGGATATAAGGCAAAATATATATATATATATATATATATATATATATATATATATATACACACTAGGGGGGTACTCCCTGTACGGGACTAAATCCTATTTTACTAATTATACAACTGTTCATTTAATTACATATCACTACTGTTAGTGCAAAAGATCATATGTAAAAATTGAGTTTTTTTACATAGGAGCACAAAAATTGATTATTTCTATATGATTTATTAGTATAATTTAATATTTTATTTCCTTCTGCTATTTTCCATATTGGCAGACTACTTTTTACAGTTGCAGACTACAAAATGTCACCTTTAGTACAAATAGAATAAACATGTAAAATTGTTACATACAATCTTTTGCACTAACAGTACCGTTATATGTTGAGCTCTCATAACCTCCTGCTCTCCTTATCAGGAAAAATCCAAGGTTTGTGTTTTTTTTTTAGCAAGTCATGCTTTTTGTTGAATAGAGAGCAATAACTAAAGAAATATTTAATTTAAGTAATTAACGATTGCTTCATTGTAAACTAGACCATTTAAAGATGACTTTGGAGCTGCTAAACTAAGCTAAGTTCTGTTTTTAAAAAAATCATAAATTGTTTGTTTTGTTTTTTTTATCATCATACAATTATACTATATGTAACTTTTATTTTTTACAACCTATGGTGCATAATAACAAATATAAATGCATAAGGACACTTTTTGTTTCTAAAAAAAAGTTTAAAATAACGATTTTTCGTTTATTCATCATCTACTTATGGGACAATCAGTATATATATATATATATATATATATATATATATATATATATATACACATGGTGGTATATATGAAATGGTGCAGTGCTCAACTTGTGACGGCCCTATCGTGAGAGACGATAAATATAATTTAAGCTGTAATAAATGCCGCGTAATATTTCACGGCAAATGTTGCAATTACAGTGAAAAGGAGATTGACGCTATAAAATTACAAAAAAAAGCTTGGCTATGTAAAAAATGTGAGGAGGGCAAAAAGGCTGCCCCAGCTAGTGATAAGTTACCCAGTCCAGCCAAGAGCGACACCAGAGAACCCTCCTCATCGGATATTCTCCTGGCCGTCAACAAGCTCAGTGAACAGGTAAATGAAGACATAAAAAATTTAAAAACGTCGAATGAGAAGTATGGTGAACTCAGTTTCGAGTTGAATGAGAGGTTCACAAAAATAGAAGGACACCTCGAAGCCCAAGCGAAACGCCTAGAAGAACTCTCCTCAGAAAATAAGATGCTGAAATCCAGAGTTGGTGAACTTGAGGTGCGTGTCAACAAAGCCGAGCAAGGTCTACTTCGTAGATCAATAGAAATTCGTGGCATCCCGGTACGCGCGGGAGAGACTCCATCGGCCTTGGTACCCAGCGTGGGAGCCGGCCTTGGGATTAAGATCAACGCAGAGGACCTCGACTTTGTGGAGCGACGGAGACCAAGAAAAGATGATCCCCGACCACCAACCGTGATTGCTCGTTTTGTGAGGCAGTCTGTACGCGACGACTTGGTGCAAAGAAGAAAGGTAAAAAGGGACTTTTCTACTAGGGATATTGGTTGGCAAGAAAACGACTCCCACCGGATATATCTCGGCGAAGAAATGTCTTCTATGAATAGACGTCTGTACTGGCTCGCCCGTCAGAAGAGAGCAGCTGGCAAATTAAAATACTTATGGTTTGCGGGGGGTAGAGTTCGTTAGTAGAAAAGAAGATGGACACCCGGTGATCTACATCGATCAGCCACAATATCTTGACATTTTCTGCTGACGGTTCGACATTCATCAACTAGATGGTCATAATTTGGAAATGTTAAGCGTTGCCTACTACAAATCACTTTGACGTATTTTGTTACTGTTTTACCATTATTTTTGCTCTAGCACAACTGACGTAATCTTTTATTTTATCATGTTTAGTCTTTTTTATCATTGCTGCATATTATTATTATTATTTGTATTTAGCCATTACTTGCTTCTTTTTAAATGTTATTCATTATATTTCAGCTGCCTTTCATCATATTTCTCTATTTCCTATCCAACATGACTAGTATCCTGACCTCTTGTCATGTTAATTCACAATCCTTACCAGCCCATTTCGACGAATTTCAGCAATATTTTACCTGCAATTTTTACCATACTATTGCAGTTTCCGAAACATGGCTAAAACCCCACATACCTTCCTCTTCCGTTTCCTTACCCGATCACACCTTTATCCGCCATGACCGGATTACACGAACGGGTGGTGGTGTGGGTCTTTACGTCCATAATAGCCTAAAATCCCGAACCCTAGATATCTCACCCCCTTCCAAATATCCCCACATGGAATACCTTTTTGTTGAAATTTCCTTTAAAGACCATCTTCTCCTATACGTTGTAGTATACCGCCCTCCTCTGGTACCTCTCGACCCATCCTTCGAATCAACCCTATACAAATTTATCCCATTTTACAGTAATATAATAGTTTCCGGTGACTTTAACGCCAATCTCCTTTCCGATTCCCACGATAAACACTACCTGGAAAACCTTTTCTACTCCCTTAACCTCTTTATAGTGCCATTTGCTCCTACGCATCACACTTGCTGGTCTGATACATGGCTGGACCTGTTTATCATCGATTCTGCGCAGAACCTTTTGTCCTCGTTCCAACAACCTGTTCCTTTCCTGTCTTCACATGACCTCATACAACTATCTTACAATATCCAGACCCCTGCGATCCTTCCTAAAACCATAACCTTCCGCAATATAAATTCCCTAACCCGTAAAAGCATCTTACCCGATATTGAAACCCTGAATTGGAATGATGTTTACACCAGCTCCTCAATCGATACCATGGTAGATATCCTGACTTCTAATCTCCTCCATATCCTCAATACCCATGCCCCACTTAAAACCTCTACATTCCGCCGCCAGCCTGCTCCTTGGATGTGTCAAGAAATTCGAAATATGCAAAAGAGACGTGAGGCAGCCCGTAGACGTTTCAGAAGAACCAGGCTTGCAGATGACTACGAAGCGTTCAGGGTACTCCGTAACTTGACGCAAACAACGATCAGGCAAGCGAAAACCAATTACTTTCATGAAGCCTTCTCCTCAGCTCCTGATTCAAAATCCAAATGGCATTTACTCCGAAAGCTATCTCTTTGCAAATCATCTTCTTCCCTAGCTGTCCCAGTTTCTCCTGATGCCTTAAATTCCTACTTTTTGTCCTCCTCCTCTAGTAATATTTCTCCCGCCTCTTCTTATATTCCTGTATCATCTGCATTTAATAGTGATAATTTTTATTTTTCTTACATCACTCCTACGAACCTTATTTCCTCCATAATGAAATCCCAATCCAACTCTACAGGAATTGACGGAATACCTGTCAAACTGTTAAAATTATGCCTCCCTGAAATCCTTCCAGTTCTTCTATTCATTTATAACTTTTCCCTTCAAAATTCAGTTTTTCCTACATCCTGGAAAAAAGCCTTAGTCCGTCCTATTAACAAAATCCCTAACCCCACCTCTCCTAAAGACTATCGTCCAATCTCCATCCTCTCAAATCTGTCAAAACCCCTCGAAAGAATAGTCCAATCCCAAATTTCCAATTACCTCGAAGAGTTCAAACTTTTAGATCCTCTCCAATCTGGCTTTCGCCCAGGCTTCTCCACTCAATCCGCTTTAGCTAAAATCACAAATGACATACATACTGCAATTGACGAAAGAAAACTGACTGTATTAGTACTCCTGGACTTCTCCAAAGCATTCGACTCCTTAGACCATTCTATTCTCTTCAATAAATTAAAATCTCTATCCTTTTCCAATAGTTCTATCCAATGGTTCCAATCCTTTCTTTCTGACAGGACTCAAGCCGTTAGTATTCCGAATCAACCCTTATCTTCTTTCCTCTCTTTGTCTCATGGAGTAGCCCAGGGTTCAAGCATTTCTCCTATCCTTTTTAATTCTTACATCAATGACCTTCCTAGTTCAATCCACCATTGTTCATACCACCACCATATATATGCTTATATTTTATATTTTTGTCTTTATGTGCGCCAATATGAGAATGTACGTATAAATAGTTCCTTTTATTTATTTTACTTATTTTTTTTTCAATTACACCACAAGTATCCTAAGATTTTATTTTATCTTAGTGTCTGCATATTATTATATAAACCACTGTAGATATTATTACATTTTGTATTAAGTTAGTTTTCTATTAGATAGCCTATTGTTTATAAATTGTGTAGTTATGTATATATAAATATGTAATTTTTCTTCTTTTTTTTTTTTTTTTCATCACAATTAAGTAATTTTAAGAAGATTTTATGTTCATTTGTATAAATATTTTATTTTTTATTTTTCACTGGTTACATACTTTTTAAATAATGTATATAATATTAAAATTTTTATAAGTTAGTTTTTGGCCAGATTTGTACTTTACTTTGTATTAACTCATCATTGTTATTCTAAAGGGACTTAGTCCCAGAATAAAGTTTAATTTTCTATTCTATTCTATTCTACACACACACATATATGTATATTATGTCAAGTCAATGTATATATATGTATGTTGGTTTATATAAAGCTATAAGATAGTAAAGTAATATACATTAATAAAGAAAATTTAATGCTAAACAATTTCTTCCCCATGTTTTTCATAAAATGAAAAAATAATGAGTTAGAGACTCAAATAATGATAAAAATGCGAGGCAAAAACAATT